GGGCCCCACACCACCCACCTGGGAGCCCCACACCACCCACCTGCGGGCCCCACACCACCCACCTGGGAGCCCCACAACTATGGCCCTGGCCTCCTCCACAGAGAGGGACCTGCTGCTGAGGAGCAGAGGTCTGATGCCATCTTCAGCCCTAAGTTCTGAGCTGACCAGGACCAACCCTGGACTCATCCCACTCTGTCTGATCAAGGCTCTTTCAAACTCATTCCCGTCCTCAGTGGGTCTACACTCAGAATCCAGCAGCTCTGTCCTCAACACACAGCAGGCCTACGCTCTGAACCCTCGGCAGGCCTACACTCTGAATCCACAATAGTTCTCTGCTTTGAACCCTCAGTCCTGAGCTGACCTCACCAGGACCAACCCTGGACTCATCTCAGCAGGTCTACACTCTGAAGCCTGTCACTGAGCACTCTTGCCATATGAGTCAGCCCTGCCCTCCCAGGTTCTCGGTCCCCTCCAACACAGGATACCACAGCACTCTTGCTGTCCCCTGAGATGCCCAATGTACTTTCTCACCTCCATACCATTGCCTAAGCAATTCCCTCTGCCAGGACACCTTCCCGCAAAAGAAGCTCTGTCTGAGAAAATGTCTACCTTCAATATCATCATCAGGTTCCTCCCCTCCCTGCTAAGGTACCTGCCTGTCATGTTACCTTAGGGTCCCTCTATAATTGAGCTGACACTGGACCCCAACCTCCAAATGTCCATAGCAATGGTCAGGTCTGGGCAAAGCCGTGGCGTGAAAACCTGGAGGGTGCAAGCCCCTCACCACTCTACCCAGTTCTGTTTCTCTTCTTGATGAGCCTGCCGCCTGCCTGGCTTGGCCCATTCTACCTATTTCTACACCAAACAGGGAAGGGCTGGTGAGTGCCCCGGGCAATGGTAGTCATAGCAAGTGGCAGAGCTGGCCAGAAGGAAGCATTTTCTGTGAAGCTATTGCCTGTTTTCTATTTTTTAAACTCATATAGTCACAACTGAGCAGCATCCAGGAGGGCCCAGGAGATCCACACTTACCCAGGTATCCAGGTTCGACCACGTAGATGGTGCTGTTGGGTAACCTAGAAGCACCTTGCATGCGAATACCTGGAATTTTAATTAAGGGGTAAGACATACGACAGCAAACAAACCCGCTGGCCGGCCAGTTTCAGCTTGGCTCAGAATCCTGATCATCAAGACATTACATGGAGAGAAGAGGGGATGAAAACTCCCCTGGCTTAGGCCACGCAGAGCAAAAGCACTTTTCAGAATCAAAGACCACATTGCGCTTGCCACGCTAGCAAAGGGGAATCTCTGCAAGGGACACTGGAGACCACACAGGACACATCGACAAGTCTGGAGCATCAATACTCCATTATGCTAGTATGGAAATAGCCCCCGCCAGGCCCCCTCTGAAAGGCTGCAGGTTGGAGAAGTTTCCGGAGACAAGGAATGACACGCAGCTCCTGCCATCACCTCCCACTGCTGGGAGCCTCTGGGGTGAGTCACCCACAGCCGTGAGCAATTCCACTCAGCAGTGCTATTTCAGTTCTTTCTGATTTTCAGACCGTTGAGGGGAAATGGCTATTTTTAGCCCTGCCAAGCTTTCAGGGAAAAAAACGACTTGACTTCCAAACAGCAGCTCCGCCATGCCTATGCACACACACAAGCCCAAGAAAAGGATATTCCGGTGGCCAAGGACGAGGCTGCTCTGTCCCAGCTGCAGTGCAGTGACCATCGATGTGTCCTGGGCCAAGACAGCCACCGGCCGGGCTGGGTCTCCTTCGGGGCCTGGGATGCTGTTCTGAAGCTGCAACTCATACTGATCGGAAGGCATGGAGAGTTCTGGCCACCAAGAAACAAAAAATTTAACAGGGAAAGAGAGAGCAAAGACAAGAAATGTTAGAAGCCAATACAGTCCCACCGCCACCCTGAGTCTCTGCACCCTGCTATCAGTACAGCTGCCGCATTTTTTTTTTCTTAATTGTTTTCAGTGCTTTAAATTTTAATATTGTTCTCCATGCTGGTGCACAAAACTGACACTCCATGAATTTTCAGAGGCAATCAGTTTTTCTGTGACTGCTGTAAGCTATTTAAAAAAAAAAATTTAACCACAATCTATTTGCCAATTGCTTAGAGAATACTAACATTACGCCATTTCTGAACATTGCAAAGTGAATTCTTTGCTTCTACATAGAAGGGGCTGTTTGGGGGCACTGGGGTTCTTGCTGGTTCTGTCCAGCCTCTAGGGGTTTCCCAAGAAGCTCTGGTCACTGGTCTCCCATGGGGTCTACAATGGCAAACAATGAACCTTGCTGCCATCCTCACCAGCTTCAGTGTTCCCCTGCCCTTCACACCCACTTGGCAGAAAAAGAACTTGCCCAACATGAGCTAGGATGGAAAAGAGTTTCCCTGAGAAATAACAGTTCTATAAAGTGAGCAACATCGATGTCCATCTTCCTTGCCCTGTGGGCAAAGACCACAAGCACTTTTGATAGCAATAGTGACTGCTGAGCAGGGATCAAGATGCCTCAGAACAGTGAGGTGTCTCGTGATCACATTCCCTCATACCCCTCAATAGCCCTGGGAACACACACTACTGAGAGCCACATTTTGGGGATAGGGGACTGAGGACATCAAGATGAGCAGCCTGCTCACCATCACACAGCTAGTGGAAAACAGAGCTGGTATTCTGATCCAGAGAGCCTGACCACTTTCACACTCACTCTCCTAAGTCCGTGGAGCTTCCTAACCAGTCACCCATTCACTGTCCCCACAGGTGGAACGTTCTAGCCCTCCAGCAACAGAAGAGGACACAGGGAATAGCAGACAACATCCCTGCTTGGCCCTCCTCTCAGGCCAGCTCAGGGCTTCAATACCCCATAGAGGGTGTCAGGTCAGGGGCTCCCAGAGGAATTTCAGCTAAAGCATGTTTCAGAATCTCCAGAGATTCTGATGAGAATTCTAAAAGAGAAGCAACTTGCCTAGCCCTTATCCTGAGTTATTTTTCATGTGACCTACTAAGTATCAAATAATTTTCACTACAACATTGGGTCCTCAAAGTGTGGTCCCTGAACCATCAACATCACCTGGAACTACAAATGATGGGCCCCATCCAGACCTGCTGAATCAAACTCCAGGGGTGGGCTGGGCTCTAGCAAGCTCTGTTTTCACAAGCCCTGTAGGTGATTCTGATGCAGGCTAGAATTGAGAATCCCACAGGGAATGCACAGCCCACGTCCTCATCTCTAATCAAGTGATTCTTGCAGATTATGTGTCTAGTGTTCAGAATATGCAGCAGGGCATCAAAGATAAATGTCAGAATAAAATAACACAGTTGCTCAATGAAGCAACATTACTTTATACTGATTAATGAAGCACTAGCTTCCCTCCTTGTTTACTTTAAAGTTTTCTAAATGAGTAAGGCCCTTTTGGGAAATGAAAATGCTTACACTGAAGGGGACTTACATAGCACAGATGTAACCCTCCTTGCAAATCCTAAGACTGAAAATAAGGAGGTTTTTGTGACAGACTCCTTAGATACCTCCTTTTCTTTTCTTTCTCTCTTTTTTTTTTTTGAGATAGGTTCTTACTATGCTGCCCTGACTGGACTGCCGTGGCTTTCATAGGTGCGCTCATAGCTCACTGCAGCCTGGAACTCCTGGGCTCAAGTGATCCTCCTGCCTCAGCCTCCTAAGTAGTTGGGACTACCAATGCATGCCACCATACCTGGCCTTAGATACTCCCTGCATCCTGGAACTCACTCTTGTCCACCATACCTGGCCTTAGATACTCCCTGCATCCTGGAACTCACTCCTTACAAGAGACGCTGAATGTGGAAGTCTTTGCAGATGTTAAGGGCACTGCCCAGTTCCTGTCTTTGAATTATTGGGCCAACAACAGAAAGGCTGCTCCTGAGGCCCCAGATCAGCCCTGCTATCATCTGCAGAGGGTGAACAGCTGCCCTTCTGTAGGTCAAGAGGCCCACATTCTTCTAAAAGACATGATCTCTGTCCCCTGCTCACCCTGGCTGATCCCCCCAGATGTGTTTCTGTCAGTGCCCCCACTCCCAGACCTTGCACTCCACATGAGCTCCAGGGATGACTACAGAGCTGGGTCTGAGTCAGGGATGAAGGACAGCTCACTGCCTGCCTCTGACCTCAGCCCCTGCTCATGCAGCCCCAGATACATTAGTTCTGAGCAGCCACAGTTAAGTGCCTGCCAGATTCAAAGTCCCTTCTACAACTGAGTCTTTGACACATGAACCTCAGCCCAACACATGTGCATGCTATTGGTTTTGCAAACCTAGTACATTTTATTTCAGTAATTTCCACCATTCTATCCACTCAAGATCTCTTTGGATACTGATTACATCAGCCAGCACATCCTTCCCATTTTTATTATATCTAACAGCTTGATCACAGTGGCAGTCGTGTCTGCAACCAATCCAAACACCAACAGGACTTAGGACTAAGGACTGGAGATGGCGACCACAGTCCCCACTGGAAGCCCACCCTATAAGCAACACAGATGCCAGGCTATAAGCCCCAGGAGCTTGTCTCCTTCACTCACAGGTCTCACTTGCAGACATGATGTGACTGACTATGCTCTGCCTCCACTAGGCTGTGAACTCCAGGAGGGCAGGAAGCAGGCAGCCCTGCTGACCACTGTGCACCCAGCACTCAGCAAAGGGCTGGCACAGAGCAGATGCTCAGGAAATGTATTTGCAAGAAAGGGAGCAGCCAGATAAAAGAAGAGAGGCAGGCATAAAGGAAATAAAAATACCAAAGAAGAAAAAATTACTGTAAGGAAGGAAACCCAACAGAAAAGAAAAATATAAAGAGTTAATCTGCAGTTATAATTATCCTATGTTAATAAGCCCATGTAACTGTCATCCAACCCAGAATGCTCTGAGGCTTCCACAGGATGCCGGATAAGACACGGATTTGCTGAAATTCAGGTCCCCTATGAAGACAACATTCCCCGACTTTTCTGTCTAGCAAACCTGCAAAAACCAATATAGTCACGTGAATTACACCTCAAAGAAAAAACAATCTAGCTAGGCTGAGCATGGCAATTCACGCCTATTATCCCAGCACTTTGGGAAGCTGAGGTAGGAGGGATAACTTGAGCCCAGAAGTCTGAGACAACCTAGACAACATAGAGAGACCCCATCTCTATTAAAAAAAAAAATTAGCCAGGCATGGTGGTGTGTGCCTGTGGTCCCAGCTACTCAGGGGTCTGAGGTGAGAGGATCACTTGAGCCTGGGAGGTCAAAGATGCAGTGAGCCATGATCATGGTACTGCACTCCAACATGGGTGACAAAGCAAGACCCTCTCAAAAAAACCCCAAAATCGATTCATCTAAAAGACTTAGGAGTTTCCGTTGGTGTGTCTTGTTCACAGTGAAGTTTTGCTAGTTAGGCCCCTCTCGGTTTTGCCAAAACATCCATCTGGAATCCACTTCAGTAGCATCCAGTGCCATCAATCACACAGGAGTGTGTATTTTTGGAGGACTTTCACATCTCATGACCCCACTGATGAAAGAGAGGTGGGCTCTGCCTCCTTCCTTTCCTGTCCCAGGGCATCTTTCGTGTGCTCCAATTCCTTGTTGTCTGTGGCAGGAAAGTCAGTGACCAAGCCCATAAGTTTTCTAGGTACCTTGGGAGGTACAGTTCCTCTGGGCTGTGATATCCGAGCTAATTTAGAGTGAGCTCTTTCTTTTCTTTTTTTTTTTTTTTTTTTTTTTGAGACAGAGTCTCACTCTGTCGCCCAGGCTGGAGTGCGATGATGCGGTCTCAGCTATTGCAACCTCCTCTGCTTCCCAGGTTCAAGCCTCAGCCTTCTGAGTAGCTGGGACTACATGTGTGTGCCACCACACCCAGCTCATTTTTTCTGTATTTTTAGTATTTTTTCTGTATTTTTAGGTTTCACCGTGTTAGCCAGGATGATCTCGATCTCCTGACCTCATGATCCACTGCCTTGGCCTCCCAAAATGCTGGGATTACAGGTGTGAGCCACTGCGCCTGGCCAAGTGAGCTCTTCCTAAAGCCAGCCCATCCCTTCTTAACT